CTTCTGCAATAAGGTATTTGGCATAAAGTATTCATTCTGGAGCTTACTTTTCTTAATTCTTTTTCATTGTGCACTTATAAATTCATCTTACTTTGATATTTTGTTTCATAGAAGAACTGGGTATAGGCCAGAGGTACGGTAGTGAGAGGATCCAGGGGAGCAGAATAGGCAGATTTTCCGAAATATACTGCTAAGAGGAGCAGCAGGTAAGACAGGAGAGGTCAGCTGTGCTATGTGGGTTAGCTCCCTGGCTAGGCATGGAACTCAGGCCGCAGTGGTGACAGCACTGAGGCTTAACTTCTAGACCACCAGGGAGGCCCCATCTTTCTTTGATTTCTCAGGGAAAGAACACTGACTGACTAGTCTAAATTGGATCTCCTCTCTACACTTACTCACCACACCTGTACTATTCCTTTACAATGCTTAGCTGAAATTCAAATATTGTATTTGTTGGTATGATACTCTGATTCATGTTTTATTTCTGAATGAAAAAATGCATGATCACAGGGACCATGTCTCTTTTGCTAGCTACAGAATCCTCTGTTTTCCACGCTGCCTGGGAAATGTGCACTTGTCAATACATTTTTATTGAATGACAAATTGCAACCATGTTAAAAGGTGCCTGTTTTGGTGTTTGAAGGACGAGTTTGGTTCACAGCATCCTGACTTTTTGATTTTATATGACAAACTAAGGAAAATACATCTTAGAATGCTCATAAATGACTTAGATGTATTTATATTCCAAATCTATGTGTTGCTACCATCTTTATTATCTTCATTGTCACCATTTTTATTAACTTGTTTGGTTATCTTTGGCTTTGACAATTAATCGAGAGAAATTTATTTTTCTACGGTATATATGTTGTACAAGGCAGTAAGTTTTGAGGCCTTACTACTACCACTTATTACAACTGCTATGTTGTTTAGTTTTATGTAAATGTAATTTAGCAAGACAAATAATAAATGTGACTCCAGTAAGCAGAATTAATTTATTTTTGCCCCATAATGTATTGCAATATCTACTACTACTTTGGGAAGAGAGTTGTTTGTAAACTTCAGCCAGGCAGGATCAAGATATCAGTTTTTATTTGGCAAGGAGTTCTAATGATTTCTGCTTCCTGAATTGAGTGATAATTAGATATAACATACATGAGAAAATTTAAATTTTTGTTTCCTACCTCTTTTTTTTTTTACAAAAAATACTGAGGTTTGTTCTTATCTACCAGCAAACAAAGAATGACGGCATTTCAAACACATCCCTGGTGCTTAACTATGAAAGTTATAAATACAGTGTAAGATTTTCTCTGAAAGTTCCTATGGGTCTCAATAGCTTCATGATTTTTATGTTCACTTTATTTTCTGAGAACTGGGATCTGAAAATTTCTGCACAGCATAGAATTATCAATAGGATACAAATGGACAATGGCCAGACTACAGATAAAAATAGAACTGTGACTCACAACCTACAACAATCACCATAGGAATACAAACCACTACCTACAGAAATCCATCCAGAGTCACACCACGATACACTCCAATCTTGTCTGCATCATCCCTTTTGCCTATTCAATAGAAGCTTATTTAGCACGTTCTATGCTTTAATAACTTTGAGGGGATGCACAGATAAATGGTCTCTGTCTTATGTGAATTTTACTATCTATTTGGAAACAAATACTATATTCCAGCTAGTTGTACCTGGTCAAGAAGTTGTGCCTGGTCAGGTTATTACCAGGACCTATGTGTCACTACCTGAACCCTGAACAGGAGATCAGAGTCTATGCCGTAGCTGGGTCTCAAAGTCAAGTTGGACCCTGAGTCAAGAGTTCCTGAATGTTTGTGTCTTCTAATTTCCCCAGCCCATATGTGCTTGAATAAATGGTCAGGAGTCCCCTAGAGGAGGGCAGGAGGAATTATTTTCATTATTCTTATCCTGAAATTCCAGAGTCCTTCTTCCTAAGGACACAGCTTCTCTTCCAAGTGAAGGTTCCAGGTCTGAAACTGCTTCAAACCAAGGCTAGAGATTGTAAAAATTTATCAAGACTATAAATCAAAAGCCATCTCACAACCCATCTTTGATTTCATTGTTTTTTCCCTATTCATCTTGATCTTGCTCTGCTCATAATCTTCTGAATTTTCGAGAATCACTTCTAGCAGGCTGTCACTCCAACCTTGTTGCTCAGCTATCATGGCATCAACTTGACTTCTGTTTAAGTGCCAACACCCAGTCCGCCTCTGTCAGGGTCTCTCATCCCAACACTACTGCGATGGCATGTTGTCCCGCTGCCCTGGCACAGAGCAGACAGCCGAGAGTAAATGTTCTAAGGATGATGGGATCCCTCTCAACAGTGTATGTTCTTTTTGTCAGTTCCGCTGTGATACCACAAAGCTGTGGTTCAGGGATAGAAAAGAGGCCACTCTATTTCAAAGTTTCTTTGTATCTTAAAGAAACCAGAATCAGTCATACCACACCAATAAATCATAAAATTATGCCAAATCTTTGTACCTTTGTTTTGAAGTGAAATAGGCATTTGAAAACAAGGTCAGAATGAAAATAAGAGAAGGGTGCAAAGTGTGGACTTTCCAGTATTCTTGATGCTGAGACTTAAACCCTTTATTGATTGGGACAAATGAGACAATGGTATAATTCAGTTTTAGTGTTGCATTTATTGAAGAATACACTATGTTGATGTCTAATGTTGTACACCTGAAACTTATCTGATGATAACACCATGTTATTTCAACAAAAACCCTTCATTGAACTGGCTGATAGGGAACAGCAGAAACAATGAAGCAATTGTCATTGAATGGGTGATTTCACATCCCTCAGAGTATTTATTATTATAAAATTCCAAAGACAAAATATATAGTAAAAACAATGGGTCCCCTCGCTCCTGATCCTACCCAGTAGTTCTCCCCAGAAGAACTCTCGTCAACCCAAGGTTACTAGATGTTCATGAATTTTTCCCATAGAAATCACACTTTACACAAGGTTTTGCACCTCATTTTTCACTTTAAACTATATTTTGATGATTGTTCTGTATCAGTATATATAAAACTCTACTGTCAAACTATTTAGTAACTACTTAGGATTCCACCACTGACCTTTACCTTTATCTTACCTACCTGTCCACTAAAAGCATTATCACTGTGTGTCTGATGTGTGACTGTGTGTATATGTAACATTTGCTCATGTATTTTCCAAATGCTGAACATGCTTTATCAAGGTTCAAATATATAAAATGTAATAAATATTAGGATAATTTCTCAACAGAAATTATTAATCTACAATCCTATAGGAGAGACTTTTTCCATATTCTTCTGACACAAATAACCATCAAATTTATTGATCCTTGTCAATCTGAGAAGTGAAAGAACTCCTGCAAGTTTTAGTTACCTTTGTCTGATTATACATAAAGTTGATTATCTTTTTTATTTACTATTGGAACTATGTGTATACATGAGTTTTACCTCCTTCACAGTGCTTAAATCATTACCTCTCTTTCTGTGATACAAGTTAAATATTTTAGAGTGCTATTTGATTTTTGACATACCAATTTATTTCCATCTTATACAATTTTTTGTACTATATGCCTTCTGGGTTTTTAGGTTGTGCTTAGAAAGGACTTCCACATTCCAATATGTTTCCAGTTATTTGACATTTCCAAATTTTATGGTTTCAATATTCATGTTTAAATTTAGAGCAGGGGCCTCCCTGGTGGTGCAAGGTATTAAGATGCAACCTGTGAAGCTATCCGCAGCCACTGCAGCACGAGTTCGATCCCCAACAGGGAGAAACCCACATGGTGCAGCCGACCTCTCCTGACTCACCCGCTCCTCCCCTCAGTGGTGTCCTTCGGGCAATCTGCCTGTTCTGTTCCCCACTCTGTCTCTGGTGAATCTCACCCTCCCGCACATCTGGCCTGTACTGCAGTTCTTGTATGCATAAATAAATAAATCTTTTAAGGGCCTCCCCTGGTGGCTTAGCGGTTGAGTGCTGGGCTGCAAAGCTGCCTGCAACCTCCGCAGGGCCGGTTCGATCCCCGGCCACCTGCGAGGGTCCCACATGGCACGCAGATCTCTCCTGCTGTGCCCGCTCTCCCCTGAGCAATGTATTTCGTCAGTCTTTTCTGCTTCCTGCTCTGGCTCTGGTGAACTCTCTTACCCATGCTTCTGACTGTACCCAGTGCTTGTATAAATAAATAAATAAATAAATCTTTTAAAAAATAAATAAATCTTTGAAAAAATAAATTTAGAGCAATTATAGAACTTACTCTGCTATTATCTATATATGATGTGAAATAGGTGACTCTTGGCTTTCTCTGGGTGTTTAGGTGTCTTTGACAATTTATTGAACATTTCACTATTTCTCACATACTTGAAATAACACTTTAACACACAGCATAAATAAATGATTTTTTTACTCGCTGACTATGGAAACTCTTCTTTGGCCTCGTCTGTATTGTTAGGACCCTGTGTTGCACTGGTCTCATCACTGAAGACCTATATACAGGATAAACATACTCATCTTTGTTTCTCTCTCTGTATTACCTGATAATTTTTTCAAGCAAATTTTGCATTTCCATATAAAATTGTATAAACTGGTAGCCTACCCATCTTCACAAAAATATCTTTTGGGTTTTTTTTTAAGATTTATTTTCATTTATACAAGAACTGGCGTACAGGCCAGAGGTGGGGGTGGGATGAGAGGATTCACCAAGGACAGAGTGGGGAGCAGAACAGGCAAACAGAACAAAGAAACTGCTGAGGGGAGCAGCAGGCGAGGCAGAAGAGGTCTGCTGTGCCATGTGGGCATCTCCCTGGCCGGGCTGGTGGCACAGGGGTTAAGCTCAGTGCTATGAAGCTGTCCACAGCCTCTGCAGTGCCACAAAACATCTTTTGAATAAGAACACAGTACATTTAGAATTGAAATACAGAATTCACTTAAAATATATATATATATATATATATATATATATATAATAGAATTCTTTTGTGTGCATATCAGTAGCAATCTCGATAGGTTTTGTCCCTAGGTAATTTTAACATCTATTGCAGGTTTTGTCTCTCTCTGCTAATAAACCATTGAATGACAGGCTTCTATAAGGAAGTATTTAGGTTCTGTGTGCCATACTGTCTTTGTTGCAGCTACTCAGCTCTGCTATTGGGGACTGTATGCAGCCTAAAGACCCATTAATGTAGAGGCATGGTGGTCTCCTAGTAACGGTGACAAAAACAGGCAGCAGGACAGATCTGGCCTAGCAGGAAAAAATTGTCAACTCCTGTTATAAAGTTATTTGTTTTTTTTCTTTTAAACTAATAAAACCTATCTATCTAATATGTGTCAGGCCCCGATATCCTTTAGTCTTTATGTTCTTTTGATGTTTAAACCTTTTTTGAGTTGAATGAAAACACACACACTCCAAAAACAGGATGAAGCCTCTATCCACATTCCATAAGTTCCTTAAAAGAGGTGCTAATCTTATTAAAACAGATTGCCCAGAACCATCAAACCCAAATCCATCACTTTAGCCACCCGGGCAGCAGATTGTGGATTGTCAAGTATGTCAAAGGCCCGTGAAATCCAGGACGAGTCTTTTTCCTCTTTATTCTTCTCAATCTCTTTTCTCAAATGGATTATCTCTGCATTCATCTCCTCAGACTTCTTTTTAAATCCTTCAGTAAGCATATCTTCTTGCATCTAAAACAAAGGGGTATAGAAAAACGAAAGAAATTCTTGAATATCCCCTTTTCAGGAGTTAGATGTTATATTTAAGAACTTTGCTAAATTTGTGGTACTTTACACACAAAACTATGCTCTCTTCTTAAACAATCAGAAGATAACATTTTTAATATAATTAAATTTATTTGTTTTCTTATATCATTGTCCATTTTAGTACAGCATTTGATTTCTCTGCTACCATAGCACCTGTGGTCCATCACCATCGCATCTCTTCCCTCCCCTGTTTTGACCCCTCTGCCTGCCCCTACCCTGCTGGATGCCTCAGGCAAGTTTTGTCTTTTTCCTGACTCTTTGTTGAGTTGCCTTATATTCCACCTATAAGTGAAATCGTCTGATATTTATCTTTTTCTTTTTGATTTATTTTCCTTAACATAATCCTTTCCAACTCCATCCATATTGCTGCAAATGGCATGAGTTTACCTTTTTTGATTGCTGAGTAGTAGTCCGTTATGTATATGTACCGCATCTTCAGAAGATAGTATTTAAAGCAAAGAATATCTTCTGGGCCACATGTGGATAGTGAAATGAGGAACATTTCAACTTTACTTATATCCATTCACCATTAAGGCTTTGCTGTGGGCTGCAGCAAGCATGAGGGCAAGTGCAGTAATATGCTCCAACCAAAGGTGCAGGTTGCACGGGAGCCATTAGTTCACTTGCACAGATGTTCACTCCCACCTGGGGTAGCACAGTCTCCCATATCATGGAGATAATGGGAAAGTATAAGCTGATTGAGAAAAACATAAATACTTCCAGAGGGGAAAAGAGAGAATGCCCCCATGTAGTGACCAAGGCAAGCCACCCACACCTGCGCCAAGTCTAGAAGGTGTCAGTTCCTTATATTTCTAAATCCAGTCATGTCTGATAGTTTCAGGAGAGCATAGCTACAAATCAGGATCTTTGATGGAAGATTTCCTGAAAATTGACAATGGGCTTGGTGAAGCGCCTGGTTGCTGCTTATGTGAAAAACATGGGGCTGAAATATAAACTTTATAATCCATGAGACCCTCAGAATCCTACCTGTAAGGGAACTCATCTTGCAGAGGTTACTTATATCCTTCAAGGACATGGATGCCCAAAGTCCCCCAGACACGTCAGGGACTCAGTATGGAGCAGAAATCAAAAACCTCTTGAAAAATCACGGTTCAATACTTTTAGTAACTCAAATGACAGTAATGTGTCTCTTTTTTCAATTTTGCTTTAACTTTCTTCCCTTCCTCCATGAGGTACCAGAGCAACAGCCATCAAGAACTACTGAGACCATGTCAGACTCACCTTCAGCTTATGTTCCAGTATCATCTCCAGTTCCCTCCTATCATTTTCTCTTTCCTTCTCCAGCTTCTCTCTCAGCTGGGCTATGTTCTCCCTGAGGTCTCTCAATTGTGCCTGTGCTTGTTGTTGCTGCTCCTCCTGTTTATCTTTTAGCCATTCCTGTTCCTCCTCAGCGGCCTCCATCCTGGCTCGTTTCTCTGCCCCATGAAGGTTTTAGGAAGAGAAGAAAGTTACAGATCATAATTGAGCAACACCCTCTTAGCATAGAGATCAAATTTGAAAAGGAGAATGGGAAACCTCAAATTCCCCTAGTGGCCACACTATCAAAAGCAGGCCTGAGAATATGGTAGAAAAGACTGATGGGAATCCTGCCTCTTATTTTCAGAATTAGCAGGGTATACATGAATGAGGGAAAGCTTTTTCTATCAATGTGCAAAGCAGGAAACTGTTACCCTACCCCCACACCCCACCCAGCAACCATGTGGGTAGAGCCCTACCCCATACCTGCAAAGGCCTTCTGCTCAGCAGTGAGGGCTCTGTCAGCCTGCAGGATGTATTTCTCTATTGGTGTCTGTGACTGCAGGAAGTCCTGAAGGGCCTCATTTGCCTGAGGAACAAGAAGAAGCAAAGAACACAGATTTCCATTGAGAATTGTTCTGTACAAGTCCACCATGTCATTTTTTATTTTTTGCTTAAAAATAGTCTCAGCACTGTCAAGATGTCTCCAGCCACTCCGACAAGAGTTGTTCCCTGGCCAGGTTGCTGAGCCACATGGTGTGGCAGACCTCTCCTGTCTCACCCACTGCTCCCCTTAGCAGTGTATTTCAGTAGATCCACCTATTCTGCTCTCCATTCTGTCTCTGGTGAATCCTCTCACCCCCCACACCTCTGGCCTATACCCCAGTTCTTGTAGGCATAAATAAATAAAATAAATCTTTTTTAAAAATGCTGCAGGATCCCCCTACAAAGAGTTCAAACTCAGTATGACCAGAGGGTGTCCAAATCTCCCTTCCTCCTACACACACACACACACACACACACACACACAGAGAGAGAGAGACATAAACGTGTGTGTGTGTGTATGTATGTATGTAAAATAGCATGTTTATCTGTGGCTCTTCCTTTTGGACAACACCTTAACCTGGAGAGCATGTGCAAATACTTCAAATTCCCCCCCTCCTCTGGGAGGCTTCCCTGGATGGCACACACTGTGAAATGCACACTCTAATCACACTGCCATTCTCCCACCACTTGCTAGATGTGTAGCTCCAGGCAAGTTACATCCCCTGCCTGTGCTCCCTAGCTCCATCTACAAAATGTGGGAAACAGGGATCGATTCTTGTAAATAGTTTTTGGAGGATTAAATGAAAATGTCTGAAGAACTCAACTACAGGCAATAGCAGTTGTTTTTATGTTTTACAATAGCAGTTTCTTTTTACATTTCTTACCATAATATCACAGGGCTGCCCAGAATCTAAGGTTGATAAGCATCATCACTGTGTATGTAGTTGTCTATGGACTGGACTGCCTTTCACTTTGATCAGCCTTGACTTTAACTTGTAAATCATTACCCCTTGACATATTGAAGGTCATGTTACTTCTTTTTTTTTTTTTAAGATTGATTTATTTATTTTATACAAGCACTGGGTATAGTCAGAAGCGCGGGAGGGTGAGAGAATTCACCAGAGCCAGAGCGGGGAGCAGAGCAGGCAGAAGGACCGAAGTACACTGCTGAGGGGAGCAGTGGGCGGCAGGAGAGGTCTGCGCGCCATGTGGGACCCTCCTCCAGTGGCCGGGGAGCAGCCGGGGATAGAACTGGCGCTGCAGAGGCTGCGGGCAGCTTCGCAACCCAGTTCTCAACCGCTGCGCCACCGGGGTGGCCCCATGGTAATTCTTAAAGACATAAAAGATTTCCCTTCTCTCTCTTGTGAATTTCAGATATCTATACTCATTTTAGGGGAATGGACATTCATATTCTCCTCCAGGAATAAATAGCAAAGAGTGGGCCTTAAAGGCTGAAGCTCTCACAGTGGTCCCCACCCCCCCACCCTTGATTCTCCCAATGATGCTGTTTTCAGGACAAGCCCTTGATTCCTCTCTGGACCTCCCCATTCATCTTCATTCCTCACCTTCACTCCTTTTCTGGGCACGCACAGATAGTCTCTCTTAATCCTTTCCATTGCTTCCCTGTAGAGCTTGTGCCCTCCAGGAGCATGGAAAGTTCCTGCTGAAATACTTTCCTCTAGGTCCTCTGAAAGCTCCTCAAGTAGTTCCTGGCAGTATTTACCAGATGCCTCTTCATTCTGCTGCAGGAAATCCTCCTCCTTCTTCTTTATGATTTTCTGGAAGGGGAATGCAGAGGATGTCACCAGAGGGAAACAGAGGAGGTAAAATTCCAGAGGATCTGTTAGATGGAAGGTCTAACTGTTGTCCTCTTAAGAAGAGCATTCTAGCAGAGCAGCACTAGCAATGGAGCGTGAATCAAGAAATTTTCTCTCAACTCCAAACATGCTGTGTAATACCCTGCTAAAGCTTTGTCGTGATAAACTGAGATTGCACTATTCATTCTTTACTGTTCCTAGTGGAGCATCCTATATTTTCAATAATGCAATGATACATCTGAAAACAAAAATAAATACAAACAATGACCAGTTAAGATTGTCTGTCCTGGGAAATCAGGGCCGGGGCCTAGGAGTGAGGAGGGCTAGTGAGCAGCCAGCTCAGGAATGACAGGGGAGTGCTGAGCCCATCACATAGTTCTCTGAAGGAAAAATCAATGTTGATTTTGCTTGAGGGATCAGACAGATCCTGAATAATTCCCCAAAGTCTGAGGGGGGGAAAGGAGGGAGTAAGAGTCCTCTATGGTTCTGTCATAGGAATCCAGACTGCTTTGCCCTGGATAGGAAATGAGCTGTGGGATGAATAAGCAGATCTCAAGGCATCGTTCTAGAAGGGCGAGAATCAGGAAAGGAAAGTACCATGAGTAGCGTCTGGTACTCTCGCTTGTCATCGTTGAAGGAATGTTCCATGAAGACTGCAGTGGCCTCCCTCTCACAGGCTGTGTGCACGTCCAGTAACTCCTGGAGTGTGTCTGTGGGGAAGCTCACTTGCTGGGCCATCTGCTGGCTGTAGTGCTCGGCTGCCTTGTCCACGGCTGCTGAGTTCTCAAGCTGGGCCAGAGTTGTCACTGTGTTCTCCAAACAAGGAATTGCTCCACTGTTGATGGTATCCACATAGGTCACCACCAGAGTTGCAAGCCCTGAATAAAGCAAGAAATTGATAAATATCTATTTTCAATTGATATTGAAAGATTTTGACATTATAGTTCTAAAAGCTCCTCTCTCTCTCTCTTTCTATTACACAGAGAGAGAGAGAGAGAGACACACACACACACAACTACTTTATTGTCATCACCTTCATTTCCATATTTGTTCTTTATTCTCTAAGCCATAATATTTTTAAAACATTATATACCTTTATATGACATAATCAGAACTGTCTGGAAATCATTATTTCACATTAACACAAATTAAGAGAAAAGACTGCAAAGGAAATCACGCAAGATATTTATTCCTCATTCTTATACTTTCAATGGATTTTCCAAGATTCGTATTTCTTTTGGACTAGCTTAAACTCCAAGATGTCTTCTTGAGAAAAACACTTCTTCTATAGGCCTCCCCCCATGAAGAATATATACTCTGTTTTTAAATCCAGTTAGTGATTTTTATCACCTCTAGTGGCATTCTTTTTAAATGTGGGAACTCCAGATACCAATGACAATGTTTGGGGGTTGAGAAAGGGATTTATTAATCTCATGATGAGAATTAATTACTGAAATACGTATTTGTCTGTGGAATATGAATATTTATATAAACAATTCTATATAAAATGAAACAGAGCTGCTGAAGAACACATAATTCAATAATCACACATATCAGTCCACCCAAAAATATGATTTAGGTAAAGCAGACTCACGTTTCCCAGTGATCTTGACCCCTTTCCTGAGGCACTTGGTTCTTGCATTGGTGAAGATATAGGAACGGAATTTATTTGATTGTTTCAGGAATTTAGGATCCAGTTGACTTTCCGAAGCATCCTCAATATGGGCTAAGAGCACCGTGTCTTGTACTGGCCGGTCAAAGACAAAACACTTCCGTTTTGGGAAAAAACGCCTGATACACTCTCTGGGTCTGTTGGACAATTGTGCTCTGTCACTCTTACCTGAGAAAGACAGAAAACAGAGTTACACAGCCTTGGTACAACACAGGTAAATATTTTTAGGACTTGGGATTTTTAATCTTTAGAATCTTCTGTGCTCATAGAATTCTTTTAACATTGTCATACAAATTGCAAATCATATTCATGTGAATGACATATCACTGCAGAGAAATTTTAGGAAAACATCCTTCCCAGGCTTAGAGATGGATGAGGGGTATCCACAGAATCAACCATGGGGCCTGGTTTATTAGATATTTGTCTAAAAAATGATTTAATGGTTTGCTTAAATGCAGTCATTAGAAGTTATCAAGAAATAATGATCTAGGTTAAGTACCAATTTTTTTTTTAAGATTTATTTTATTTATACAAGAGCCAGGGTACAGTCCAGATGCGCGGGAGGGTGAGAGGATTCACCAGAGGCAGAGCGGGGAAGAGAACAGGCAGACTCATGAAATACACTGCTGAGGGGAGCAGCGGGCGACACAGGAGAGGTCTGCTTGCCATGTGAGCTGCTCTGAGGCTGGCCTGGCGGGGATCGAACCGGCACTGCAGAGGCTGCGGACACCTTCACAGTGCAGCGTTCAACCGCCTGCACCATCAGGGAGGTCCTAGGTTAAGTACCAATTTCTGATCCAATTAAACACATGTTGGAAGTAGATGAAAGTAAACACTGTTGAAACACAATGAAGAGGCGCTACCTAGATGATGCAGTAATGGTTAGCACAGGACATAGGATACTATTTTCAATTGTGGAGAATTCCATTGATGCAATAAGAATTCACATAGCACAGAAATGACTAACTATTTTTCAGTCTGAAGACTATAATGTGAGGATCACCATTACATAAACACATTGGTTTTGTCAAGTACTCACCCACTTAAATGCAATTCATTAAAATTACTTAAAATAACAAGACACGAATAAATATGTTAAGGGTGCTATAAGTAAAACAATATAACAAATCTGGCTGTTTTCAGAAATAATAAAAAATATATACTGAAAGTAGATTGTAGGGTCTATTTAGGATATTCACTTTTTGTAGACAATACAACAATCCAAGCTCTAGTAAGTTTTCTCCCTCTTTGAGAAGGTTTACAATTAGGGGAATATGTTCTGTACTGTGATTTCATGCCTAATAATTCCAGAGCTTATTGTTTCCTCAACACAGAAAGGAGAAGCATAACAAGGAACACGAATGTTTAGTCTTTAAAAAGGTTTGGCACCAACTCTATCTAGGTAGTAAGGCATAACTTAAGTGCAGGTTAGTTTTGAATCATTTCAGTCTACTTAAATTTTTTCTTCTTGGTTTGTTTAAATGCTGTCGGGCCATACTGAGGCTTATCTTTTGCACCTGCCCTCTACTCTAGATGTGCCTTAATATCTAGATATCATTGTCACTGATATCTGGAAGGTCCCAGGCACTATTTCTATGGTCCTCGATCCAGCCTCTAGTACAAATGCAACCCCAGTGCTTAGTGACCCCCAGCCTCGAGAGGACCATCCCCTGCCAGCCTGTGTTTTCATACCTGCAATCAGCTTCAAGGCATTGTCCAGGTACTCATCTGCTGAGATAATCCGATCACCTATTTTCAGCTCCAGGGTGAAATCCCGGACAGTCCAGATAAAGTCTGGAAAGACACGGAGAAACTCTGTGGCCTCTTCTACGTCCTCAGCACTTGGGGAGGACTTTGACCTGATGAGTTCTGTGAGCTCTGTCACGTAACTAGGACTTAGTTAAGGGAAAAGAATTCATTATCCATAATTACCTATTTCATTTAAAAAGTCATTTGAAAAGTCATTATAGTCATTATAAACACTCTCACACTGACTTTTCACTACTCCACCAAGGACAATTCATCCACAGGAAAGGGGAATCCATTTTGGTCTGGACTCCCATCTATTTCTCAACAAAACTAGGAAGGATACTGCAGTTTCTCCAAGGTATCATTATTGATGGTGTTCATACTGTTATATACTAAACAGCTGCTGAGAAGCACGGCCAATGCAAAAATCCACGAGTCATTCTTAGGATCTCCCTGAAACACATGGAGCAAGCACATTCTTCTATTAAGAATCATTTTCTGTTCAATCATTTTCCATTTTTATTTCACATTTCTAAATTTCTTTGTATTGGTACAAAGAGAAAATCTTCACAGAATTAAAGGCAAATCTTAGCTTGGACAGTTCCAGTAACATCTCTTATCACCTCAGTTTTCTCATCTATAAAATAATTCCAGTAATATTTTTCTCAAAGTGTCCTTTTTTCTGAATGTGATTATCTAAGAGAATATTTATTAAAAAAGTAGTGTCTTTTGAGAAATCCCATGTTCAGCAATAAATGATACCCCTTGTTCTCTTAGCAAAATATAAACTATAGAATACTATGGTATCACAGTTAACACTCAAATCGAATTACATTAAATAATTATGAACCACTACTAAATTTCAAACATCTTAGTTATAGGGAAGAAAAGATAAATATGACAATTTGTATACTCAAGATGACCATCTCATGGTATTTACACACTTTAAAAACTAAATACAGCAAAGATGACAATATATTCAAAAGATATAAATAGGAGTAGTAAATCTAAAGTGAAATCATTGGCTATAACATTGAATAAAAAGGCTGAATCAGTCCAAGCAGAACCAAAGCTATGGAGTAAAGCAAAGAATGTGTGTGCTACATGAGACCTACCTAGAAATTTTGTACTGGGTATTCAAGTATTTGTAAAACATGGATTTGAGATGAAAGAAGCATACAAGCAGAAAGACCTGTAGAGGAAAAATTCGAGTTAGTAAGCAGTAAGCAAGGAGTTATTGGGGCTGACAGGTATACAGCTGAGAGAGGGTACAAAAGATAAGCCTCAAAAGCAAGCTCCCATGCAAAATGACGCCTTGAAGACAAGTGTAATTGTTTTTGTGTTTTGCATCTGTTGCTGAAGAGGGCATATAGTGTAGTAAAACAGTTTGTAAAATTTGGTGTGTTCCTGAAAACCTTTGAGGAAAAGCAATGATGAAATCTATATTTAGGAAATGGGGAATTGTAAAAGGAAATGTTGATAAATCCCCATTCCTCAGGCTCTAATGATCTGAAGAGTAAAAACTAAAAACAGCAGAAGCTGGACAAAGGAAAACAATAAAAGCTTTGAAAATAAGACTCTATGTTTGCTATGACATTTTTCTAAGTGTAGGGTAAATGGTTTTCCCGCTTTTCTGCCCTCTCACCATTAGGATTGCCCTGCCTGATGGGGCACCTGCAGTTGTTACATTGTTACTTCTGTAGGGCATGGGAAGAGTATTGAGATAGTCACCAGGAGAAGCAGAAGCAGGAGAGAGGCAGGAGAGAGAAGGGGAGAAAGAAAGCTGAGAAGCCCACGGTAGAGACTTGCTGGGGGCTTGGAGGCCTGCTGGCCTCCTGGTGCCCTGGCATCCCTGCCTGCTATGTACCTGTTTGCTACACTACATGTAAAAGCTCAATAAAAGCCTGAGAAAGCCACTGAGGGCCCCAGGACTCCTCCTTTACCCCATCTACCAGATCAGAAAACCTGCTCTGTGGCCTTCCTGGCACTACAATAAGGAAGGATGTAATTTCTACCTCCTTTTGGACATTGTAGGGTAAATGGTTTTTGAGGCTTTTCTGTCCTCCCCATCAATAGGTTTGCCCTGCCTGATGGGGTACCTGTATTTGTTACATTGTTGCAAGCTGACTTGTTTACTTTTGTGGGCCATGGGAAGAGTATTGAGATAGTCGCCAAGAAAGGCAGAAGAAGCAGGAGAGAGGCAGGCGAGAGAAGGGGATAAAAAAGCCAGAGAAGCCCAGAGTGACGACTTGCTGGGGGCTTGGTGGCCTGCGGGCCTCCTGGCCCCCTGATACCCCTGCCTGCCATATACCTGCTTGCCACACTACATGTAAAGCTCAATAAAAGCCTGAGAAAGCCACCAAGGGCTCCAAGACTCTCCTTTGCCCGTCTGCTAGATCAGAAAACCTGCTCAGTGGCCATCCTGCCACTGCAATTGGCATAGTCGGCAGGATGATTCAATGCAGATGGGTGTGGAGCTCTCTGAAGACCTCAGGAGGGACTGAGGAGTAGCAGACTGTGAGCCTGTGACAATGCTGGATGTGCCATGGCAGCACAGGAGGTGACCAGAGTCCAGGAGCTCCATGAAGAGATAAAGACACTGCAGTAGCACAGGAGGTGGACAAGGTTCGGGAGCTGTGGGACAAGAAAGGAGATGGCCCACGAGGCAGCAAAATTGTCAGGGAAGAAAGGACCATGATTAGGAGCTCGCCAGTGCTGGCACAAGGAACAACTGATGGACTTGGACTGATAATCCCGCCAGAAGGCAGACTAACTTTGGCAGGGTAATGTTATGTTTTGGAGACCCTGGGGGAGGATGGTATTGTTTGTACACCCCAGGAGATGAGAATCTGGGGGTGGCCAGTGGGTCATGGTGGCCAAAAGTAGCCTGTGTACTGCCCAGCAGCTAGGCAGAGGAAGAAAGCCAACTTAGAAAGGCAAAAACTGGTGCTGAGACTGGGAAACCCTGAGCAGCTGTTAAGCAGCCTAAGTATGTTGAGGAAGGCCAGTGAGTCTCTTAAAATCACTGGTGGGTGATGCCCTGCTGACTCTTGTGTAAGGGCGAGGAGCTAAGGAACCCGTCCCCCAAGGACATGGCTTATGGTGGAGCCCACAGTCAAAGAGGGGACCCAAGAGAGGCCATATGTGGAGCTTGTATCCATGGATCCCTGACCCATGTGCATGTGCAATGGGTTGGCCTGAGTGCAGGGGTCTGCATGTCGCATTGGTGGCTATGAAAGCTGAGTGTTGGAATGACCACAGACAGAAACCCTGAGGATTGGGCGATTACCCCCAAAGAGTACAGAATCGCCAGTCCAAGAGTGAGTGCATCCTGGGGGTGGATGCTGTGTGTGGCTTATGGCCGAGACCACAGCTGGATGGCTCCCCCTTTGAATGACTAGCTGAAATGGTGGATCATCTGCTGGTGCCAATAATCGTCTTTTGCCACTAGGTTGGTGCCCTGCCTGGAATTATTTGTGTTCTGTTGTATTGTTTCATCATTATTTTCTTTTGTGGACCATGGCTGCAGTGTTTATGTTTGTTAAGAAAAAATTGTATATAACATATAGAGACCGTATAGCAGAAAACCCTGAGGGGGTGGATTGTGGGGTAAGTATGGGGGAAAAGCATCAGGCTTTTCTGCTCTCCCACTGCGCATGTGCATTCAGCCAAACGGCGTGGCGTGCAAGGCGCGCGTGTGTGGTTGGTGTAGCTTGGCACAGTGCAGTGCAGTATGGTGCAGTGCCAAGGACAGAGGAGTGGAGTGGAGTGGCAGAGCGCTACGGAATATGGCGACGACTAAAAGCAGAGAGCATGAAGACACCAACAGGCCTGCTGGAACCGGTGATGGACCTACTCGGTATAGGTTGGTTGCTTGACAATCCACTACCACTTCATCTGTCTCAGTGCCCATCCTGCCCCAACAGACATAAATGGAGATTTACAGACATGTAGACCTTGCTTCCAATTTAATCCCCAAGCAAAGAGAAAATGAGGCCAGGAAAGGGGGAGTAGGGGATAGAAAAAGAGAGAAAGAAAATTCGTTTTCACCATAATATAAAGACAGACAACATAACATCCATATGAAAAAATATCCTGCTGGTAGGTATCTGTCTGACTCTGCTCTCCAGAAACTTCCCTTTTGTCATGCCAGGATGGGCACTGAGCAAGTTTCTAGGATAGGGGCAGACAGGGTAGAGTCCTGGAGCTCTCAGTGGCTTTCTCAGTTTTTTATTGAGCCGTTCATAGTGTGGCAAACAGGTACACGGCAGGCAGGGGTGCCAGGGGGCCAGGAAGCCGGTAGGGCAAATCTTCACTCCAGGCTTCTCTGGCTTCTTTTCTCCCCTTCTCTCTCCTGCCTCTTCCGCTTCTCTCCTGCTTCTGCTTCTCTTGGTGACTATCTCAATACTCCTCCCATGGCCCACAGAAGTAAACAAGGTAGTTTGCAACAATGTAACAACTGCAGGTACCCCATTAGGAGGGCAGAAAAGCCTGAAAACCATTTATCCTACAGCTTTCTATCTGCCACCCAGCAAAAGTTCTTGGTATTATTATCAGATCGCATGCACACTGTCTCCTTGACAGGACAGCAGGCTCTACCAGGGTAAGGTCCATACTCTCTGCTCAGTGGTATCTATAGCACTCAGCCCAAGATCCTATAACTCAGTTTTTCAATAAAAGGTTAAGAAAATGGATGGAAAAAAAACCTAAGATATCTTATCTGATCTTATCTAGAAATGTGTTTCAAGGAGACCAAAGTATGCCTCATTCAATAGAGTTTAATTTCAATATTTTAGAACAGATCATGGCAGATACATTACAAAGATCATAAGGTGAAAATTGAAAAAAAAATTTAGGGCCTCCCTGGTGGTGCAAGGGGTTAAGACACAGCCTATGAAGCTATCCGCAGCCTCTGCGGCATAAGTTCCATCCTGGTCAAGCTGGAGCACGTGGCCAGCAGACCTCTCCTGACTGGCCCACTGCTCCCCTCAGCAGTGTATTTCAGTCCCTCTGTTCTGTTCCCCACTCTGTCTTTGGTGAATGTTCTCACCCCCCCCCCACACCTCTGGCCGATACTGCAGCTCTTTTATGCATAAATACATAAATCTTTAAAAAAAAATTTTATCTGTGACTCCGCCTTACCTTTTCCACATCCCCTAGGCCCTCAGTGTCCAGAAGGACCAATTTATGGTTTTGCTTGAAGGGGTGGGGCACACACCACATCCAGATGCCCTTGGTTTGAGACTGAATTGTAGAGCCAAGGGCAAAACCTGAAAGGAAAAGGAGAGAGTAAAAGTATAAGTGACGGCATAGTCCCAGAAGGCCATGGGCTAAAAATTTAGACTTGCAGATCTGTGAATACCCTAGGTTAATCTCTCCATCTTAAGGAGGCCAACCTTGTGTGTCATCTATTGCTCATCCATTTAAAGTTTGTTTATAATGCCAATGCTATTTCCAAATGCAAACAAACAAAACTCCCTCATTGTGAAACCGGCAATCTTCACTTCACCCATGAGTTTTTTGGCTTCCCTGGACTGCAACAGGGACAGGAAGCCGGTGGCCGCATTGAGAGCAGGAAAAAGACAGTGGAGTATGCACAGCAAAGATGTACTTGATGCAAGGCAAAGCAAAATCTTTATGTGAAGCAAAAACGACACAGAAAAGCTCCTATTGCCAAGAGGGAACATGAATGACTTGCCATCCGTGGGAATCGGGAGGCTGCTTTTATCTTTTGGGGTTTCTTTATCTTTTGGTGGGGGGCTGTTCCCATTTTTTGTTTCTTTGGAGCTGTGGTTTACTGGCCTTGGGGATATGTTCAGGAGATACAGCAGTGTCTACACAGCTAATACTATTTACTAAAACAAAATGAGAAATACTATCCCTTGGTGTCTTAGAGTCAATGAGTGCTAAGAATGCTAATTTATAATGATGTTATGGAAGTCAGCCAAGTGACACCTGGTTTTAAAGCGTAGGTAGAGATAAGGGGTGGGGGAGATAGGGGGGTGAAGATGGCTTAAAGAATTGCATGCTTTATTGCCCTCATATAAGGTTGTGGCTGCATCTCATTCTTACTTGTTTTGAAGATGCCATAAATCACAACTAATTCCAGGGATCTCAGCAGTAGTTAAGACACTTTCTAAGAGGAACATGATTGTCTAATTGAAGGAAAACAGAACTTCTAAGGACCCTGCTTAGAACCAGGAATAAGAATTGTTGACACGTGGTTGATGCTGCTTCTATATTCTCATTTTCTACATACAAACATCAGTAAGTTGTTCTCTATCATTCATAGAACATTTTCTATATGGTTGAATCAGACATTCTTTACATTAAGTGACACTCATGGGCTTTGTACGGTTTGGATATACTAATCCACAAGGTGTTCTGCAATACCAAGATACCATGTTCTGCTCAGAATTGTCATGAATGCTAACTAAATCCATTTCTACTTATCATTTCTACTGTGAGTTAAAATATAAAGACAAAACACAGAACTTCTGAGAACCCTGCAGAGCTAACCCAGAGATAAATCCTCAAGGGACCTACAATTTAGATAATCAAGAAACAAAAATTAATCAAGAAAAATTGGAGGCTGGTAAAGAGAATGAAGGGAAGACAAGAAGAAACCCAGAAAAGTGTGGTGCCACAGAAGCCAAAGAAGGAAAGAATTTCAAGGAGCAGGCCGAGTCAGCATAAGATAAGGTGACATATAGGGACTAGCACAGACACAAAGAAACCCCCATTGACTCAAACAACATGGAGGTCATTGTTAAGTGTAACAAGAGCATTCAGTGGACTGTTGGGGTTTAAAACCAAAAAGGAGTCCATTGAAGAGAGAGAGATGGAAAGGGAAGTGAGATAATATATTTCTGCTTGAGGATAGATAAAAGCAAAAACTAGTATGGTAGTCATAATTAGATTTGAAGTTTAGAGAGAATTTTATAGCTGTCAGATACTTACTTATGCTGGTTAGTGAGTAAACATCAAAGAAAGCAAATCATGTGACAGCAGGCATATCTGCAAGAGTTCATGAGTGGCAGCTTAGAAAATATGATTTAGGGCCTCCCCGGTGGCGCAGTGGTTGAGCGCTGGGTTGCAAAGCTGCCCGCAGCCTCTGCGCCGCCGGTTCGATCCCCGGCTGCTCCCCGGCCACCAGAGGAGGATCCCACATGGTGGGCAGACCTCTCCTGCCCCCCGCTGCTCCCCTCAGCAGTGTACTTCAGTCCTTCTGCCTGCTCTGCTCCCCACTCTGGCTCTGGTGAATTCTCTCACCCTCCCGCGCTTCTGACTGTGCCCAATGCATGTATAAACAAAACAAACAAACAAATAAAATAAATAAATAAAACATGCCTCTATAAAAAAAAAATTATAAAAAAAAAAAAAAAGAAAATATGATTTAGAGAGCACTAGTATGAAGGATTTTTCTTTTATAAACTGCAAAAAAAAAAATAGGAGTAAGACTTGGGAACAGAAAAAGGTTGGGTAAAATAGTGCTGGTGAGAATTGGACTTAGAAGTTGTTTTTAAGAAGAAATTTGGTTTCTCTCTTCACTTGTGCCACGAGGAGTGGTGAGAAGTTGAGATGCAGCTAGAATCAAACAAACAGACTTTGTCACAACAGTTTTACTCACCAAGCTTTTGTCCTGCAAGACAATTCATCAAGTAGGATTTTCCTGTACGATACAGTCCAACAATAGCCACAACCACCACAGGCTGAGAAATCTTTCTAAGAAACTTTAAGGCTGTCGGATTCACCGACAACTTCTCTTTTTTGTTTTCCACCAAACAGATGGGATTCGACATAATGGGTCCAGAAGCCATGGTAACCTGCAAATCCAAAAGAATCTCTTTGTGGAGATAAACTCACAAACTTATTCTCTGAGTAAGGGTTAACCAAAAGCATGTGTATATAAGAGAGCATTAGTAGACCACAGAGATCTTCTTTCATCAGAACCTCTGATGATGGTAGTGATGAAATGTTAAATATTACCAGTCACCAAGGTTTTACTTCCATAGTAAAAATAAAATCCAAGCTTATGTATTGAGAATCTAAAAGACTTATGTACCTGAAATTGTCGATAGCACAAAGGCATGAGTGGTAGATCTGTATTTTCAAATCTATCCAGTGAATAAGGCAGGGAAGTCTGTTTCACTATGTCATGCTTTACAACCTTATCCAGCAGAAGAATTTCTCAACATTCATTACCCCTTAAACTCGTCAATCACTTATGTACAGTGGCCTTCTATTGACAATCCTGTAACAACAGTATATTCTCTAATGAGTTAATAGAAGAGACGAGTTTCTTTTATTTTTGCCCTCCTTCTACAAACCACTCTGCAATTTCTTGACCAGACTTTCCTGCATCACCAGTGTCTCATGAAAGGCTCGGGTCACCAGGTTTTTTTTTTTTTTTAAAAGATTTATTTATTTAAAAAAAAGATTTATTTATTTATGCATACAAGATCTGGGGTACAAGCCAGAGGTGCAGGGGGTGACAGGATTCACCAGAGACAGAGTGGGGAACAGAACAGGCAGACTGACTGAAATACACTGCTGAGGGGAGCAGCGGGCGAGTCAGGAGAGGTCTGCTATGCCATGTGGGTTGCTCCCTGGCCGGCCAGGGATCAAACTCATGCTGCAGTGGCTCTGGATAGCTTCATAGGTTGCATCTTAAACCCCTGCGCCACCAGGGAGGCCCTCACCTAGTATTTCCTGAATGATGTTTCTTGTTTTTATTCCTTGATACCTAGCCCTATCAGAATGTCTTTCATTTGTTTAAAAACAATGGATATGTGTCATTATGTACATGAACTTGTGCTTACTTCCTTGGATAAAATTATTTATAAGCTATAGCCCCTGCTCTCAAAGTAACATGAGTAACCCTATCAGCTATTATGAGGTTTAGCTGTCAGACTCACACATACAAAAATGGCTTGTAAACAATTAATTATCCTACTCTCTTATATAAATTGCGATATTAGTTGTCCATAATTGGTAGGGCCGATTTTTCCCAGAAAGGATTCAGGTGCAGGACCCTTCTATCATGTGCTCAGCCAACTAAAGGGGTAGTTTAAGGTCCCACAAGGTGTGCTGTATATCTCTAGTAAAGACAGATTGGAGACTGGAGCGAAGGACGGAACCTTCCTTTGAGAACTCATCACTTCAGTGTAAAATCAGTAGATCTTAGTCGCATTACCACATCCAGCCACAGAGGAAGCTGGGATCACCATACGTATTCTGGGAAACATATACAGCAAATAAGCAGGTGTTCTGTTAGTACAGGAGATGGGAGAAATGGGTAAGAAGGGACTAGCGGTGTTTGCTGGTCACCATCTCCACAAGGAAGATGACAGGCAACACGACATAGATCACAGGCACTGTGTATCACACTTGCAGTGCTCTCCACTGGAGTCTAGCTTTGAGGAAAGATGTCCTATCTCTTCTCTGCTGGGCACATAGGAGGTTTGATGAGTTGAAATGACCCTGGGGAAAGAGGCCTCTATGAGAGATATGGTTTGATTCATGTATTGAGATGACTTAATTTAGCTTAAGAATGCAGAAGAGGGCCTCCCCAGTGGCGCAGCGGTTGAGCGCTGGGTTGCGAAGCTCCGTGGCCTCTGCGGCGCCGGTTCGATCCCCAGCTGCTCCCCGGCCACCAGAGGAGGGTCCCACATGGCACGCAGACCTCTCCTGCCGCCCGCTGCTCCCCTCAGCAGTGTACTTCGGTCCTTCTGCCTGCTCTGCTCCCCGCTCTGGCTCTGGTGAATTCTCTCACCCTCCCGCGCTTCTGACTGTACCCAGTGCATTTATAAACAAAACAAACAAACAAACAAACAAACAAACAAATAAATAAAACATGCCTCTAAAAAAAAAAAAAAAAAAAGAATGCAGAAGAAAACCTTGGAGAATGCAAAGAGTGATGATCCTGGGAGAACATGGGGTTGCAGAAGCAAGACAGAGTGAGCAAGCAGAAGAGGGAAGAGGTCAAAATGGTAAACACTGGAGAGTTCAGTGCAATGTCAGCAAGGAGGCCAAGGATGACCTCACTGAGCAGGGATTTACTTGGGAACAGGAGCCAGAGCTGGAGGGAGGGCTGACCCTGTAGAACCAGCTGGATCTGAAGGAGGCCCCTTCTAGGAAGCAAAGATATAATGTCCTCCTAGATGCCAATAGACAAATGAAGCATTTAGTGGTGAATCCCTGTCTCCACTATTTACTTTCCAAAATAATAATCAGAATAAGAAAGTATGTATCTATTTAAAAAGGTGTTACAAAATATCATGGGGTAAATCTAAGTGAAAGGCACGTGATAGTTGATTATAATCTTAAAAATTTTCTTTAAGTCAGAATTAATGTGCAAAATGAAAGTTTAATTTTAAATAGTTCAGTAATAAAAACTATGATTATTGCATGAGTCTCTCCTTATAAAGGTTTGATCATTCATATGTCAAAGTGACTATATCTGTGGGTCTCTGCGGTGGCTCAGTGGGTTGAGTGCAGCACTGTGAAGTTGTCCATAGCCTCTGCAGTGCCAGTTCCATTCCCAGCTGGCCAGGCAGATTCCCACATAGCAAGGCAGACCTCTCCTGTCTCAGCCACTGCTCCCCTCAGCAGTGTACTTTGATCCTCCTGCCTGTTCTGCTCCCTCCTCTGTCTCTAGTGGATTCTCTCACCCTCCCGTGCCTGTGGCCTGTACCCCAGTGCTTGTGTAAATAAATATTTTTTTTTTAAAAATGTAAAAAAAATGACTATATCTCTAAGTTTTCTATTGGACTATGAAAAAGCATTTACAAGTTAAAAACCACAAGGATCTTATTATTTTTAACTCTTGATTATAGATATTTCTAATTATTTAAATTATTTCATATTAATACATGAATGGATCGACACGGTAAATGAAGGAGAGCCAGGCTAAGTTTCTCACAGGCAGGAACTTTATTGTGCCCCTGGTGAGGTTCGCTGACCCCTGCGAGGGTCTGAGAAGTTGCATTCCCGTTGTTGGGGAGAGATGTCCTTTTTTAGGGTGAGGAAAGGTTAGGCAGGAAACTGGGTTTGCAGGGCGGGAAAAAGTTTATTGTCTGATTTTTTTCTATGTGAGTTTCCGCATTCCTGGCCCCCTGCATCGATCTTTCAATACAGCTTCACAGAATTCTTGCAGTATTAAATATGGTTAATACATGAAAAATTGACATCCGAATTGCATGTTGAGGACCATCTTCTGTCTGTTTTCCAGTGTCCTGCAGGGGGCAGTCAGGAAATGTCTGAAAAAGGGAGGAGCGGGGAGAAAGGAAGGTGGGAAGAATAGTAAGAAAACAAGCGTTCTCAGAGCTTTGACCCGGGGGTCCTGGTTTGGTCCCTTAATACTAGAAAAACTCCAGCCTCCTCCCTGCAGGTTGAGAGCAGGTGCAGCCCTCCTCCCCTGCAGGGCTCCTGTGCAGCTCTAGTGATGCCTGAGGAAAAGCGTATCCGAAAGACCAGATGCAGGCTACGACCTCGAAACTGCTTGGAATTCACACACAGAAGCTGAGTTGCCCAGAGCAAAGGCTACCCCCTCACCCCCCGGGGGCTCCATCTTTCCTCTGCTTGTCCCACTCCCCGGGGATCTTGCGCCTGGGATTTATTGATGTGGTTATTTAACTGGAATGAAGGTAACAGACCAAGTTTAGCAGAGGACTTAGGTGTCTCTGGAGCTGTAAATCGAGATCAGTTCCCTGGTGCCCTCACTTGTCACTTGCACTCTCCTCTTGAGTCTGACTCCACTAGAAACCGACTGTTATCTGCATCTGCTGGATATTAAAGCTTCCAAGCAAGGGTTAGCTTCAGAGGCAACATCAAAATTGAAAGGACGTGCACTTCAGTTTTAACTGTAAGTGGGTGTTAACATTTTTTTTTATATATTTATAAAAGAGGCTAAAGATCTGAGTGTGTGTGTGAAATGCAGTAGATAATCCTTGCTGGCTTCCTTCCTGCTTCTCAAATACACTACCACTTTAGTTATCTTAGTTTTTCTTTGGGGGGGACAGGAGTTGGAGGGGAAGGTGTAAATCTTTTCCTTAGAATCCCATCATTTCTCTCTCCCCCCTTGTATTAACATAAGTACTTTTTCATTAATAAGTCTGTATTTAACTGTTCAGCAATCAAAAAAGATAAAACAACTGTCTGTATCTGTGTTTTATGTCTGTATATCCTTTCCTTGTGCCTGTCTTTTCCGCAAAATGCTGTAGTTATATAGTCCTATACATTATATGGTCCTAAAGTTAATATGGTCTTACAGATATTGTAAAAAAAATTAACAACTGTTAAAATGTTTCAAAATCACATCATCTGGGGTAATTTTTGGTTAATAGTAACTAATTTGTAATCTAATGGGTTTTAAAACATGAACTTATAAGGTGTTAACATATTATCTCTTGTCTGCATTAATTATTAATATTGGGTACATAATAATGTCTTTTAAGAGCCAAAAAAATGAAAGTTTAAAAATTTCAGGTTTTTCAAAAAAGGGGGAAGGGGAACTCCAGTTATGAGGTTAAAAACTAACGGTTATGGTTTGACTGTCAACATTGTACTACTGTTACAGGGCAACCCCGCTCTAAAACGGTTTGCCTGACTGTGGGTCCTCGCCTGCACTCTTAAAGGGGACTTAAACGCAGGCACAAACAAAAGATTTATTTATAAGAGAAAAGAAAATGAGGAAATGTACAACTCAGGGAGAAAAGAGGGAGATAATTTCTTAAATGCATCCTACCCGTTCCACCAACCTGGAATCCCAAATGATCAGCAGAGACCAAACCTGCCTGGCCAAGAGCGCAAGGCAAGAGACAGTGAGAGACCTCACTAACATGGCTGGTTATATTCAAAAGCAGGAGAAAATGGCTGCTTAACTCTGCCCTTAGGTCCTGGCAACCTCCCTTTGGGGATCATGGGATTTGTAATTCCCAGTGTCTTGATGGAGTGGGGGTGGCATCCACAACCCTGTATGGAGTTTGCTCGGGACATCCTTTCCCCCTAACACTACTAAACTGAGCCGGAGCTTTCATAAAAATTAAATATTGTTATTACTGCTATTTTCTAATAGTTATGACAAAGCTTCCCAAACATTCAATTTAGTTTACTTGGTGAAATAAAACTTAAAAAGAAAAGATTGGCACTTAAAAAAAGTAAAACTTTGGGCCTCCCCAGTGGCGCAGCAGTTGAGCACTGGGTTGCGAAGCTGCCCGCAGCCTCTGCAGCGACTGTTCGATCCCCAGCTGCTCCCCGGCCACCGGAGGAGGGTCCCACATGGCGCACAGACCTCTCCTGCTGCCCGCTGCTCCCCTCAGCAGTGTGTTTCGGTCAGTCTGTCCGTTCTGTTCCCCACTCTGGCTCTGGTGAATTCTCTCACCCTCCCGCGCTTCTACTGTACCCAGTGCTTGCAAAAATAAATAAAAAAAAAACTCAAAAAAAAAAAAAAAACAAGGATTCTCACCCAACCAAAACTAACTTTGGGAAGCTAATTATGGGGGTAATGTGAGTGAAATGATAGGTCTTAAAGAAGGATGATTTGAGATTTAAATTAGATACTATCATGTTTTAGCATAGCATGAAATACAAAGAGGAGTTCAATGGGCATTTGTCAACTTAATGGAGATTAATGTAGAATAATTGTGTTAGCAATGGTCTATTGGTTTGTGCATTTCCTCATAGTCTACAAACTTAGCATTACTAAGAAACAAATTCTATAAAAAAAATTTTATAGAGAGCAAATTCAAACATACTGTTCCTGTGCTGCCTCCTTTTGTCTGCTTGATTCTTTGGTGTAAGGAGCAAAGAATATGAAAATAAAATTAGCTTCTAACAGCTGCACCATCGTTACTGGATCTGCACTTTCCTTAGAGGATTAAAGTGACAATATTGACTAGAAACCACTTTACTCTTAGCAGTGAATGAGCCACTGAACTTTTAACTTCAAATTAACTTCAAATTAACAAAGTGCATCCTGTTCAGGACTAGTTTTCCATGTCTGATCTGTATAGGGATCATCTGGAGGGATTGGCAAAACCAGATTCTGTATTTTAACATATGTTGAGAATGACTCCAATATTCTTATAAAAACCAAACCAAAATACACTAGAGAAAGGGAGACAGTAGGACAGACAGGAAAAGGGAGATAAGAAATAGTTTGAGAGAGGGATTTGACTACTTACAGAACTCTCACTTTTAAGCTCTCTCAAGTAGGACAAACAGGAAGTAAGATTCAAAAGAAACTATTGAAATGGAGGCAAGGTGAAATGTAGCAGACCAAGCAAGGCCTAAGCTTGACCTATCTCAAGAGGACAAGTTAAGGCTATGGGAAAATTCCAGGTCAAAACAAAGAGGCCAGGTTCCAGTTCAAAAATAAGATGTATGTACCCTTTGTACCTGAAACATGGAATGTGGTGAAACATTCTGCGGCTTGTAACAGCACAGTTTGGCTTCTGTACTCCTGCTTGCTGTGGCAACTGCAAACTCCTGGGTGCAGTTTTTGCTTTAAAAACCCTTATCACCCCCTACTTGGGCTGCTCCCTACAAGAGGGACAATCGCTGGCCGGCTAATAAAGGCTTTTTTTAGATCTGATTCAGACTCAGGTCTGTGTCTGGGGGAGACTCTACAACACTATCTCTTAGATTCCAATTGCTGGGAAGCACTTTGACGGGTACCCCCGGTGTCTGCAGCATCTAGTGCCTGCCCAGTGCTGACAACAGGCCAGGCAGCCCCAACCTCTCCCCACTGCCCTGGCTGCTGCACTGAGCTGACATTCCAGAGGCAGTGCACCCAGGGCAACATGGCAGGTCTGGATGCTAAACTGCAGCTGCTGCTGCTACATGTGGAGAAGGTGAGCTTCCCCAGAATTAAACCCCCAGCACAGACCCCTAAAGGACAGGCAGGAGCAACTGCCCTTCGACCCTTCCCTTGGTTGTCTCTGAATCAGAAAGCAAGACGTGAGTTCCAGACAGTTACAAGTCACAGAAGGACATACCTGCTTTGCAGCCCCTTGGGTTTAAGAACAGCTCTGCTTCCTCTCAGCTCTTGCTCACTTCTTGCTGTTCCCCCTATCCATAAACTAATGCAGAAAGAGGGAGTTTACCATTGCTGCAAGTAGTGATGAGAGGAAGCTGAAATTGAAAGTAAAGTAATTTTTGGTATTTTCAGTTAGGAGAGTTGTCGGTCCGTCCTGCAGGCCGACGGGGTTCAGGAACACGGCGGAGGGGCTGGGGATGAAAGATGCGTACACTCACTTGGCTGGAAGCAGAAACTCTTTTATTACTGAGGGGCAGGGATATATATAGGAAAGTCTGCACATGCGCTTTACGTGGTCTGCACATGCGCTTTACATGGCCTTATAACTTCCGGTTATTATTGCATCAATTTTTGCCGAATCATGCTTGAGCGGAAGCAACCACTACCCCAGGTCCCTCTGCTGGTGAGCCCTGTACTAACAGCTCCCCCATTTTTACGTTATAAAGAAAAAAAAAAGGGGGGGGAACGCACCGGGGCCTGTCTTAGGTTGTGGCGGTCGTATTCACGTGCTTACCCGTCATGGCCACCCACCACCAGATTCCTAGGTAAGGTAGTGGAGCTGTCTTAGGTTGCAATGGATTACACCGCCATCTTACCCGTCATTGGCCTACAGGTGGTCGAGGGCAATGTTTATCCACACCCTGGGATTTTTCAGTGGGCTGTAATGGAGAATAGTGCACGTTTTGGAGAGCTACTCGCAGATTTTTGCGTCTATTCCACTGGCGCCACAAGATGTAGAAAATGATTCCCAGGTAGAAGAGGATTGTACCTAGGAGTGATATTGCTTCCCCCAAGAATTTGGCCAATCCTCAGGCCTTGGAGAGCCAAGAGAGAGCTTGATCAGGGCTATAGGCCGAAGCTCGGGTGTTATTGATGGTTACATGGTTACATTGATGGTTACATGCTAAGGGACATCATGGGGTGATCACCTTGTGTATCCTTTTCTTACAGGTAATAGTCTAATTTCAGAACCTCAATCTGTGTCTGCTTCTAGGACAGGTGGGTCAAATTTTATCAGGGGCCTCCCCGGTGGCGCAGCGGTTGAGCGCTGGGTTGCGAAGCTGCCCGCTGCCTCTGCAGCACTGGTTCGATCCCCGGCTGCTCCCAGGCCACCGGAGGAGGGTCCCACATGGCACGCAGACCTCTCCTGCCGCCTGCTGCTCCCCTCAGCAGTGTACTTCGGTCCTTCTGCCTGCTCTGCTCCCTGCTCTGGCTCTGGTGAATTCTCTCACCCTTCTGCACTTCTGACTGTACCCAGTGCATGTATAAATAAACAAACAAACAAATAAATAAAATCAAATACATGCCTCTGAAAAAAAAAATTTATCAGAAGTTTTGTTTTGGAGCACAGACACAAAAAAGGAGTGTGTTTACTGTGGTGTTGGGAAGATCAGGGTGAGGCCCAATGCTCGGGGGTGAAAGAATTCATCAGATATTGAGTGGAGACCAGAACGGGAAGATTTATTGAAATACACTGTTAAGAGGAGCAGCGGGAGAGACAAAAGTCTGTGCCCTAAGAGGATTTGAGACTCTTTTATCCTCTGTTTTCACGGGCTTTCTAACTTGGAGAGCAATTTGCACCAGTTATCTACTGGGATGTATGGTCTCTGGTACTGGCCCTTGACACAAAAGCCTCTGCTTCTGGCCTCTGCTTCTGCATTCCTGGAACTGGGCTGGTTTTCTGGTCATGATGGTCAGTTTTATGACCTTTTCCCCAAACCTTATTTATTCACTCATCTATGCCGGCCTCCCAAAGCTCTCTGCTGGGTCAGGAGTGGGGACTTAGTTTTTAACCTTATTGCATTGTATTTACTCCACCTGCCTGAGTTCTTGCTGGGTGCTTGGAATGCATCCACACAGTGCACAGCTAATTGTCTAAGACCCAAGAGCACAGCACTGCAAGCAGCTCCTAGATTGGCCAAAGAGAAGCAAGTGATGATGGAATATGGCCACTGTGAGGAGAAGGAGACTGGGTAGGAGGGCAGGCTGAGTTGGGAGCACTTGCCCAGATCTGAGGCCCCAGCTGGTGACAGGAAACCTGGCAGCTGGGACAATGTCCAGGGGACTTCAGCTAGCCTGAGCGGGCTGTGCATCAGTGAGGATTAGACATAGAGATGTCTCAGGGGTGCTCTACCCATATTTATGCTATCCATGGCAGGTCCATCCTAAGGATGGACTAATTAAGGTACAACACAGTTTGCATAGATGGACCACAGGGCCTCCCTAAGATACAGAAAGGCTTGTAGGTGCTGCCACCTTGTGGTATCTCAAGATTATAATTTATCCAGTAAATCTGAGTGAGTGCCTCATTGATATCAATATAAGATTTATATAAGTTTAATTATAATGTAGAAATCCACATCATATGCATGTAATGTGAATTTTTCAGGAAAAAGTTATGCCTAAGAAACAGTCTTTAATAGGCCCAGGAACACATCTAGTACCCCGAGACCCTCAGCAATAACTCTGGTCCTGCTAACCCCCAGTCCATAGATGGAGAAATTCCAGATAGTGTAGGAGGAGACAGGTTCAGGAGGCAGGAAGGGAAGCTCACAGCAGAGGTGGAGTTTTCTGAACTCAACCCCATTTCCATGCGGCTGACATCCTGATGCCTGCAGGACACCTCCCTTCATGCTGTGAAGCAACTGCCTGAAGGGAGAGAATTGAGGCCATGGGGTGGGGAGACCGCTGGGAGGAGGAAGGACAGGAGCAGCTGTGGAAGGACGGGGAGAAGGAACGGAGAACACGTGAGCAGGCTTCTCTTGGTTTATGGTCTTTGTGCTTTCATGAGCTGGGTCTAGCTCGCTCAGAGACATGGTGGCCACCGTCTTCCCCTTGCAGAGGATTATCTAGGTTGGATGATACATTTAGCTCTGGTTCTCTCCTTCTGTCCCAGCCCCTGAGCCCTGACCAAACTATTGCTTATTGTTCCTGCTGAGAGGTGCCTTGGACTTTATCCTGGCAACTCTGCTTTGGGGCCTTGTCTTTGGCTTAACTGGAGCCCACAATGGATGGGTGATTTTGGAGTTTTGTCAGGAATCTGTGTTTTTAAATCCTCCTTCCTCCTTCTCCTCCTCGTCTCCTTTTCTTCTCTCTTTCTTTCTCTCTCACTCATAAAATCTTTGAACACAATAGAATTTTATTAATTTGCCTGTGATACTTGTGGGTGGCAAACAAACCCTTAACAGTGTGGGATCTTTAAGCACCCCTCAGTTTTGCCCAGTATCAATACCAGCCTCATAGAACTGGCCTAGGGAATAAGGAACACAAGGAATCATCCAGGATAAGAAATAACAGCAGACACCACCTTAAGATTCTCTTGCTCCCTTGTCAGTAACAGCAGAGGTGGGAGCCACCTTGGAACCCAGTCTCAAAACTATCAAACCCTGAGAGTGAATCCCTGAGGAGAGCTCCACACACCCTCAGGAAGTAGCCACGAAAGCTGGTGCTCATAATCAACAATCGAGAGGGTCCATGCCTGGAAAAGAAATAGGACAGAACCCCCTAGTCACCACCTCCCTGCTCGCAAGCAAGCCACACTCATACAGCCCGCAGGCGCCCCAAGGACTTCCCAAAGTATAGACAAACAGCAAGTGGCCCAACCGCCAGTTGTTCTCTCCTGACAGATCAAGTTCTGCGAGGCCTCGCCCCTCTGGCCCGTATAAGTGCTCTTCCCACGCACACCTTGGTGTAGCTGCAGCCCCTGGCTGGTATGGCCTGCAGTAAATTCAGCAGTGGCCCCTGGGCCACATCTATCACAGCTCATCAGAGACACCTGCACACACACCCTTAAGCCCTGCTATGGCCATAAGGTCCATTCTCCCCACAAGGCCCTTCTGTGACACCCCAGATGTGTGAAAAGGAAGATCTCAGCCACGCTCACCAGACCCAATGTACATAAAAGGCCTGTCCCCATAGGGGTGTATATTGCAGCTAACATATCTAGTAGCCCAAGTACACACCACACCACCTGCAGTGTGGCCTAGATATCTAGCTGAGGGCACCACCTCAGGCACCTAGCTGTCCTATTGACAGCGCAGACTGGCTCTGCATTCTTCTGCAGGCCTAGTTAACATGAACAAATTAGGCATCTTAGATGCACCAGTGCACATCTCACAGCAGCTACAGGTGGGCCCACAGCATTACCCACTGGCCATTTCCAGGGCTAAGGCCAAGCCCAGCCAGAGTGACATTGCTAGGCAAAATTAACAGTCCAATCTTTTTGTATTTGCTAGCTAGTTTGATGCCATTTCTAATTTGGACAAAGATGCTTGGCATGATTTCAGTCTTAATGATTTTGTTGATATTTGTCTGTGACCATATATGTGGTCAATCCTGGAGAATGCCCCCTGTGCATTTGAAAACAATTTGTATTCAACATTCTGGGGATGCAGTATCTTACCAGTGTCTATTAATCCCATGTGTCTAATTCTTTGTTAAACATTATTGTGTCCTTATTTAGTTTCTGTCCATTGGTAAAAGTAGGATGTGGAAGTCCTGGCCATGAATGTGTTTTTCTGGGTGTGTTTTCAGATTTGACAATATTTACCTTGTATATTTTGATGTGACTTCCTCTGCTGTGCATATATTGATCAGTGTTATGTCTTCTTGATATATTGTTTTCAAATTATAATAGTTGGGAACTTCCCAAACCTAAGACAAAAAAAAAAACAGGGGTGTCCAGGAAGCTGAAAGAATAACCACATTTCTAAATTCAAACCAACTGATACAAAGGCACATAATTACAAATGATCAAAAGTCAATTATAAATAATAAATATTGAGGCTATTAGGGAAAAAAGGAATGTTAAAATTTTGAAACAGAAATTAAATGAAGAAATTTGTGATGGGCGGGGGGGGGAAGCATGTAACCTATAAAATTACTCCCATCAGACTATCATCAGGCTTTTCAACAGAAGCTATATATGGGCCAAGAGAAAGTGGAATTACATATTCAAAATGCTCAAGAAAAAAACGTGTAAGCCAATAGTATCCTATCTCACAAAACTGTCTTTCAGATACAAGGGAGAAATAAAGGCTTTCCCACATCAGCAGAAGTTAAGCAGTTTACCATTACAAGAACTCTCTTACAGGAAATGTTTTTGGAAAAATTCTCCTATCTAAATTTTCAAAATCCCATGAAAAATTGAAGAATGTAATAAACATATACACAGAACCAGAAAACAAAAGCAGTAGTTAGCCTTCATATACCAATATA